GGTCTCACTATGTAGTTAAGACTGACCTGGAACTCACTCTGTAGCCCAGGCTGGTCTCGAACTCACAGCAATCCTCCTGCCTCAGCCTCCCGAGTGCTGGGATTACAGGGGTGCACCACCAGGCCCAGCTACTCTGTTTTGAACACTGAAATTTTTTATTAAAAATGTTTTGAGTTTACTGAATGCAACACTTTTAAATTACTTTTTGAGACAAGGTCTTGCTATGTTACCCAGACTCGCCTTGAACTCATCATAATCTTCATGCTGCAACCTCCCAAGTACCAGAATTACAAGCATGCCCCACCATGATCAGCTCTAGATTGCTTCTGAAGTCATTACTTTTTGAAAAGCCATTATTGGGAAGCTAATTAACTTTATTATGCGTTTGCTTCTGAAAGGCTTTCTTTGCACTTGGTCTGTGATTCCTATACCTCTTAGCCTTTGGAGTTCTTTACCCTCAACTTCCCAGCTACTTTCCAGATCAAAACAATTACATTCTATGAATGAGGGAAAACTGGTTTTCCAGGTAGGTGACCCACATAGAAGTCTGCACTGCTGCTCTTTCTCAAGGATAGAAGAGAAACAGATGAGGCCAATTTCAGCCCTTCCAGCAGTCATCTGTCCTGTCTGGGAGAGGTGCTTCACAGTTCTTTGCAATGTGCTTTTAACTAAGGGTGCAGAACTGGAGTTAATTTACGACGAGCCCAAGTAATGACTGCTGGGGGGATGTTTAGTGCTGTTACACAGGAAGCTGGGGTGCAAAAGGCAGTTTTTTCAGATGCAGCTCTAGACCGGAAGTCAATCTTCCCATCAAAGGAAACAAACAAAATGCCACCTCTGAGCTCAAACTTTTCCTAGCTGAGCAGAGAAAGACTTACAGGCACAGAGCATCCAGAAGGAGCTAATAAAGCCCTGCCTGGGGCACCACATAATGCAACCAATGTCTTGCAGGTCATAGCGAAGTGGGAAAAGTGATCTGTTGCAAATGCAACACTTAGAACTTAGTGACAATAGCCCTAAAGAAAAACTCCTGCGTGTATTGGGCACACCTCTGGTGAAGACAGTTACCTACACCTAAACACAGCGGAGACCATTCCTGCAAATCCTGGTTTGCACAGGAATATCCGGGTTTTAGCTCTAATATAACTGTCCTAGAAAACTCAGTCCCCATCCAGGTGATCTCGTAGTTTTGAGCATGAATTCTTGTAGTCAATTTTCTTGGATGTCAGGCAGCTCCCTTCCCTTAGAAGTAGAGGCACATGTCTTAACATCACCAAGCCAGTTTCCTCATCTGTAAATAAAACAGGGTGATATTATAATGCCTGCTCTCATTTTTTGTGAAATTTAAAGGAAACAAATCTTGAAAAGAGAACAGAATCAAATTTGGCACATAGCAATTATTCCATGTTATCAGGAAGGAAGGCGGGGGGGGGAATTGAATAAAAGTATAGATTTTCATTTTATTTAAGATTTTTTAATTCTCTATTTTTTCTTTTGGGTGTTATTTTTTATTAGTACATTTTAGATATACATAATTATAAATTCAACACAGGGAATTTGTACCTGGTCATGATGCATCTTACTTCCTTTTTTTTTTTTTTCCTATTCCCCTCCCCTCCCTTCAACCCTTTTCCCCCTCCTTATTTACAAAAGCTTTGTTTCCATTTTTTTCTTCTGTTCTTTTTCCTAGTCCCTTCCTTCCTTTCCCTCTCCCCCTCCCTTGTTCCCTTTCTCATCTGAACATTTTCTTCTTCCCATTTGAGACTTTTTACTGTGACCATTTTCTAACTCTTAAAGGAAGGATGATTCAAGTGTTATTTTCCCAGCATAAATATACAGGAGCGTAATGTAGCATCCTTGTATTTTATCTTATGTAAAAATATTCCATCCTTATTAATTTTTTCAGGGGCTTCTCATAATTCTTTAATTGAAATATCTTCACTTACAGACACTTTTTTGTCATCTTCCTTGTCAGTTTTCTCTTTGTTGCTATTGATGAATCTGTGTGGAACATAATAGAGTTGAAAAACAGGGTCACACAAATAAGGGTAGCATTTTCAATAAATGGTGCTAGGACAGGAAATTTCTTTTAACCTATGTGTTACATGTATATAGAAATTAATTCAGAAAGAATGAAAGACCCAGATATAAGGCACAAAAACCTTTAAACTTTTAAGAAAGAAAAACATTGGTGAGATCATGACCTGAGATGAAGCGGAATTCTCAGATGACACTGAAACCTTAATTCACAAAGAGAAAAAAAGTATTTTTATAGTACTGGGGATTGAACCCAAGGCCTTCTCACCAAGTAACAGTCGAAGCGCCCCCCCACCCTTTTATTTTGAGACAGAATCTAACTAAGTCACTAAATTGCCTAGGTTGGGCTCAAACTTTCAATCTTTCTGCCTCAGCCTCCCAGAGTGCTGGGATTACAGGCGTGCAACATCATGCGTGGCTAAGAGAAAATACTTGATGGGGGGTTTCCACAAAACTGAAAACTAAAAAGTTCTATGAAAGAGACTAGAAAAGAACGAAAAGCCAAGCTGTAGACTATCACATTTCTGAAAAAATATATCCAGAATATATAAAGTCCTCTCCAAACTCAACAGTAAGAAAACAATGCAGGACCAGGGATTTAGCTCAGTGGTGCCATTGCCTGCCTTGCAAATGCAAGGTCCTGAGTTCAATCCCCAGTACCAAAAAAAAAAAAAGAAAGAAAGAAAAGAAAACAATGCAGTTTTTAAAATTTGAACAGGTACTTCATCAAAGAAGATATATGTATGGCAAATTAGCACATGGAAGATGGTCGGAATTCCTGGTCATTGGGGAAATGCACTTTAAAACCACGATGAGCTGCCACCACATATCTGTTAGAATGGGGGAGAGGACTTCAGAGGAGACAGAACAACTAGGACACTCAGGCACTGACATGGCGGGTATGGAATACTACTGCCTAGAAAACAGTTTGGCAGTTCTAAAGTTAGACATACATTTACCATAGGACCTAGCAGTCCCAATAAATAAGAAAAGTAATAACCTCTTTCACACAAAAACCTAAATCGCTATCTTATAGCAACTTTACTTGTAACACAAAACTAGAAATAAACCAAATATCCCTCAACCAGGAAATGGTGCTGTGCTGTAGATGTTTCTGTCTCCCAAAATTTTTATGTTGGAACCTAAGGCGCAATGTGAGATTCTTTGGAGGTGAGGATTTGGGGGAGGTGACTAAATGATGGGGCAGAGTCCTCATGAAAGAGATCCATGTCCTTCTAAAAGAAAGCCCAGAAGGTTCCCTTCCACCATGGAGGACACAGACAGTAGGTTCCATCTATGAACCAGGAAGCAGCCCTCACCAGACTCCAAATCTGCCACTACCTTGACAATGGGCTTCCCAGAAGTATGAGAAAATAAATTTCTGTTATTTATAAGTCATATAATCTAAGGTATTTTGTTATGAAGACCAAATGGATAAATCAACTTTGCTACAGTCATTAATGAAACACTACTGAGCAATACAAAGGAAGGAAAACTTGGTACATACAGCAATTTAAGTGAATCTCAAATGCATTCATTGTGTTACATGAAAGAGGTAGACTCAAAAGATTACGTCACATGTGATGCATTCATGCAACATTCTGAAAAGGTAAAACCGTAACAATGGAGGACAGCTGGGGAGGAAGAATGATACGACTAACAAAAAGGCTAACGAGAGAATGCCAGGGTGATAGAACTATTGGCTTTTCTTTTTTTTTGTTTTGTTTTGGTTTGTTTTGTTTTGTTTTTTTGAGACAGGGTCTCACTATGTAGTTGAGGCTGACCTGGAACTCATTCTGTAGCCCAGGCTGGTCTCGAACTCACAGCCACCCTCCTGCCTCAGCCTCCAAGGGCTGGGATTACAGGCGTGAGCCACCACACCCGGCTACTATTCGCTATCTTAATTGTGGCTGTGGTCATATAAATCTATGCATTTGTCAAAATCACAGAACTGCACTCCAAGAAGAAGAATATGACTGGATATAAATTAAAAGTAAATTTTAAAAAATAACAAAGTTGCTAAAAGAATGGAGTTTGTTTGATCACTTTATAAGCCATTGATTTAACGGTCACTTCGTCGAAGTACAAGGTTCAGGCACATCCTCACTTCTTCATTCTTTCTACAATATCCACTGAATACTAGGCCAACGCAACTTCCTCGATTGTGTACCGACATCTCTTGAATCTCTTTCCTTCTCTCTTTCTCCTTTGTTCCAGCCTTAGTTTGGGCCCACCTCGTTCTCTTTACTGTAATGTATCAGTCCATTTTCTGTTGCTGTAACAAAATACCCAAAGGCATAAAGGAAATGATTTTATTTTAGTTCACAATGTGGGAGATGAATGTCCAAGACTGGGTGGCCACATCTGCTTGGCCTCTAGTGAGGGCCCCTATGGCCGTGTCACGACATGACAAAGAAGCCAAAAGGAGACAGAGCAGGCCAGAGGGGCAAAGTTCATGGGGTCGCTTCACTTTACAATGAACAGTTTCTGGAGAACTACTTCAGGTTGCTCAAGAACAGCAAGAATCACTTCCAAAGGTGGCGATGACCACAGTGATTTAATCACCTTCCACTAGGCCCCAGCTCCTAAAGGTTCAACACTGCTGCACAGGAGAGCAGGCCCACCGCGCATGCACCTTCAGGGAACACACAGACCTCACCTAAACCTAACATGAAATCTCCCCAGCTTCCCAACTGGTCTCCCTGTCTCTAGCCTCACTCCACGCTTGCACCCATTTTGCTGCCACTGAATTGATTTTCTTAATGTGCAAATAAATTCTGGAATTCTCTTGCTCACAGCAACTCAACAGAAACCTCCAGTGGCTCTCCCCTGTCACTCGGTAGAGCCCAAAGCCTTAGCCCAGTACCCAAGGCCCTGTGTGATCTGATTTCTCCTTCACTTTATCTCTTTATTGTCATGTCTTCCCTCCTGCCACACATGCCAGTTGTAGTAAGCTATTGGTCTTTCCTCAGATATTGCAGGTTGTCTCTTGGTCCAGATACTCCCTGCCCTTTTCTGTGGGAGGATTACATATCTCTGACTCACTGGTATCAAGCTTGGCCAGATGACTCACTCTGTCAAATAAAACATGGGTGAAACGTGCCACTTAAAATCAGCAACTTTAAGAACACGTAGTTCTATCATCTCTCCTCTCTGCCAACAGCAATGAACATATAACATAAGCCAAAAATAAATCTCCGTTGTCATAAGCCACTGAAATTTGGCAGTTAGTTGTCACTAACGCATAACTTAGCTTAAGTTGACTAAAACACTCAATTAGACTGTAAATACCATCATTGCTCACTTTGTAACCCTTGTGCATAGTACACAAACAGCTGGCACTCAGTACATATTTGTAGAAGTGATGAATACAATGAGTGAGTGAACAAGTGATCTCCAGGCCTTTGCACATGCTCTTCTCTCTATGAAGAGTAACCATCCCTACTTCATTTGCCCAACTCACCTCAAGTCAAACCTTAAAATCTCTATGAAGCATTCTTACCCATCCTTTTCTTTCCTTTTTTTTTTCTTTATGGGTACATTTTAGGTATACAATTACATTCATCATTGGGATCTTGTACCTTTACCTAACATATCTTGGTTCTTATTTTTCCCCATTCCCCTGGCCTCCCCTTCACCCCCCACCTCCCCTATTTATAAAGACTTTGTTTCCATTTTTTTCTTTTCTCTTATTTTTTCTTTTCCCTTCTTACCTTTCCCCTACCCCTCCCACTTCCCCTACTTACCTTTTCTTCCTATTACACAATATCAATTATACATTTTGACCCTTATTTACACTTTTTAGTTTATCACAACAGAGAAACTATTCAGTATTTACATGCATGTCCTATTAATTTCAATTAAGATTATGTCCTCAATGTGCATTCACTTAGCTATAAATGTCTCTAGTTTCTCATTCTTTATGGCTGAGTAGTATTCCACTTTATAAATAAACAAACAAAAAAAATCTTCTTTATCCAGTCTCTAGTTGATGGGCAATTAGGCTGTTTCTAAGTTTCAGCTATTCCAAACTGCTGCTATAAACATGGGTGAGCATATATCATTGTGATATGATTCTTTTAATTCTTTTGGGAAGATACCTAGCAGAGGAATAGCTGGGTCAAATGAAACCTCTAATCCTAGTTGTTTGAGGCATCTCCGTATTGATTTCCACAGTGGTTGCACTAGTCTGCACTCCCACCAACAATGGAGAAGGGTTCCTATCTCCCCCACAACCTCACCAGCATTTGTTATTTGTTGATTTCTTGATAGAAGCCATTCTTTCTGGGGTGAGGTGGAATCTCAGTGTTGTTTTCATCTGCATCTTCAATGACCGGTGATATATGTTTATTTGCTGCTTTTACCTCTTTGATAAATGTAAATGTTTATTGCTCTGCCCTGACTTTAATACCCCAAAACATGGTCAAGTCTGCCTTACCTCAGTGGCCCTGTGTGCAGCACAGCACCTGGCCAAAAACAAATGATTGCATGAAGAAATGAAAGAGTAGAAGCTTTCGCTTCTTCCAGGTAGCCACAGGCTGTACGTCCTCCAGGCCTTTCTATGTGCTGACCCTCTGTGGAGAACCAGTCTCCCCCCTGTTTACCTGCCTAACTCTCCTAAATCCTTCAGAGTCACCTAATCTTCCCCTGAATGCACACCCAGTCATTGAGTCACTTCTTCTCCCTCCTTCCCACAAACTTAAAACATCTCTCCAACAAAGCCTCGTCACAGGGCATGGGGATCTTCTGACCTTCTGTGACCTGCCTGCCCCCACTGGGAACCCTGGCCTGGATCTGATTCATTACTATGTCCCCATCCCTAGAAGTTGATTATAGTACGAGGAACAATAAAAACCAAAGAGGTCTTAGTCTGGTCCTGTAAATGGAAAACTGAATGAGTTGATCAATGAAAGTTGATTCATGGAAGTATAGCATTTGCTTCCGTTATCTTGAGAGAAAAGTCC